GCCTCTCTCTCCCTCGTGTATCTCATGAATAAATAAAATCTTAAAAAAAAAAAAGAATATAACATTATATGTGGTGTGTGTGTGTGTGTGTGTGTGTGTTGGTATATGCCTGCTTGGGTCCTCATTGTAACCCTTGTTTCATAAGGAATTACTTCCATGTAAAGCTGAGGAACCTGAGGCTCAGAGAAACTAATTTGCCCAAAGTCATAGAGCTATTAAGTAGTGGAACTAGAACATAAAGCTACATGTTCTGATAATAGCCTCATACTTTTACTACCACTTAAGTACTACATGACCAACATTTTGTGTGTGGTTGGGAAATTACATATTTAAGACATATGGAAACACACCCTGACCCAGAGATTTGCATGCAGAGATTTAATTTAGACTCAAGAGCAACAGCTATGAAGTAGTAAGGAAAGGAGGATTGGCAGAAGAAATTGGTCTGTGATGCATGGGGAGCTGTGAAGCTAGGATGGCCCCTCAGATGGCCCAAGGAGAGGCAGAGGAGCCAGGCCTTTGTATCCCTATATCAATCAGATACTGTGTACATGTAGTCCCCCAGAAAGGCTTATAATTGGTAGGAGCCAGCTCCGTTTGGCTGAAAAACTGTTTTTAGGTAGGAACCCCAGTGTGAGCTATCAGCAGCCAACACTAGGAGCAGCTCAGAGAATTAGCGTCTCCGGCCTAAAGAGAACATCTGGACAATGCATCACCACATCCATTATAAATGTATGTGAGTGCCTGGTCAAATTTTAATTAAAATATGATAATGATATGAAAACAAATCTGTTTTCATATCATTATAACAATGTAGATGTATAGTGGGAGAGGCTATGGGATAGGGAATGCAGGACATGTAGGGGAAATCTCTGTACTTTCCAACTTAATTTGCTGTGAATCTAAAACTTCTCTAAAGAATAGTCTGTTTTTAAAAAAAATTTTAAGTGTAGATGTAATTAATCAGAGGCTAAAGATTAGTTTGGTTATTCAGGTATTGTCTACCCAGGCTGTGAAATGTTCAGAGCCTTTGTTCCTCTTCCTTTCTCTCATTGACCATATTCATTACATGGTCAAAGAACTTAAAAACATCGAAATGGAACCCACTTATTTTACCCACAAGTTCTGGCAGAAAAGGTGATAGGAAAAGGCTGCATGATTAAGGCAGGGTGCAAAAATGCTCCCATTCTCTTTGTCTTGAAATAAAAGCAACTTTAATTGTAGGGAGGACAGAATCATTTCGAAAGCTATGTAAGTAAAATTCAGCATGCAGAGCTGTTCTTACAATGATAACACTAAGTCCAGAGCCTTTGGGCTTTTCTGCCTCCTATTTGTCCATTTATTACTTTCTTTGAAATTCAGATCCTGTTGAACTGCCTTCCCATAGATCATTTCCTTCTCCACTGATATCATAGATCACAATTTTATGACAACCTGAAAGAAAGAAATGCACACTATACTTCTCCAGTTTTCCAATATCAAATGTGTACCCACTTGTAAAATTATTATTTCATGAAAAAGTGGGCCTTTTTCCTAATGCTTTGACATTAGATCCACTTGATCGTAGGAGAAAGTGTTATATTAGGTATGACCCTGTGTAAGCCTAAGAAGAAAGATGCATCTACCATCTGATATTCTTTACCACTTGAGTTAATTTATGAGTTGAATAGCTCTTCTGCTGCCACTGTGCTCCCACCTGATACTGGCAACCTATCTGATACATGAGAGAGGAAAGAATTATCCAAATCAGAAACCAATCCCACTCAAATTCCTTTATCTCCATTTTGGAAACCCCAGGCAATACTCGAGACCTTATCTCTCAGAACTATTTTACTTTTGAAATTTTAATGCCATCCATTCAGCAATCTGACCACAATCTATTTTTCCAGCCCTCTCCCATTGCTATTTCTGTCATCTTTAAGACCATTAGTTTCCCAATCTCTTGCCTTTCCCTTCCTCCTTTAGCTGCCACACAGAAACTCACTCCTGCCATTACTTTTAACTCCTATAAAGCACTCTCCTTCTACTGTGCCTGCCTAGCAGAATTACAGCCCCACGTTAGTCCAGCTGTCTATCTTGTTCAGTACTAGACCTAGGCTCCTGGGCATTTCTGAAGAAAAATAAACAGCCTTGCATATTGGTACCACAACTGGTTCATAGTCTTCAACCTGAAATGAGCATTCTTAATTGTATCAGTCTTATATGGATTCTTCGTCCTCTTTTCTCCCATTCTTTTTCTCTGATTACTTTCAGGATTTTTTCTTTGTCTTTGGCTTTCTGCTGATTGAATATGATATGCATAGGTATAGATTTTTAGTTATTTTTCCTGTTTGGTATTTTTAACCTTCCTGGATCTCTGGTTTGGTGTGTCACTAATTTTGGAAAATTCTCATGTTATTATTTCAAACATTTCTTCTGTCCCTTTCTCTCTTTTTCCTTCCAGTAATCCCATGATACATATGTTACACCTTTGGTAACTGTCCCACAGTTCTTGGATATTCTGTTCCATCTTTTTCATTAGTTTTTCTCTGTGTTTCAGTTTTAGAAATTTCTTTTGATCCTCAAGCTCACTGATTCTTTGTTCAGCTGTGTCCAGGCATTCATTTCTATTTTAGTATTTTATTTCTACCATTTCTATTTGATCCTTAAGAGTTTCCATCTCTCTGCTTATATTAATCTATGTTTGCATGTTGTCTACTTTTTCCAGGAGAGCTCTTAACATAATTAGTCATAGTTATTTTAAAGTTCAGGTTTGATAATTCCAACATTCCTGCCATATTCTGAGTCTGGTACTGATGCTTGCTTCATCTAGTCAAACTTTGTTTTCTGCCTTTTAGCATGCCTTGAAATCTTTTGTTGAAAGCCAGAACTGAGGCAGATCTTTATGTCTATATGGCTAGGATAACTAACAACTCTATTTTCTGTTTGAGTAGCTACGTTCTCAGAGGTAGCATTTTTCTGTATTGCCTTTTTGTCTCCCCTGTTGTCTTTTTGTTTCCCTATACAGACTTATATTTAAAGAGGTTCTAAGTCTTGCAGTGCTTTTAGCTGTAATCCCATTATTAGACAGGAGCCCATTGACGTGGTAATAAAGAACAGATGTAGAAAATGCATCCTATAATCCAGTGATTAGGTCTCAGACTTTTAATGAGCCTGTATCCCTGGGATGTGACTTTCACAAGTGCTTCTTAGCTCCCCCTTCCCCTTAGACAAGACAGGAAGGCGAGAGAGGGCTAAAGTTAGGCATTTCCTTTCCCCCAGGTTGGAAAGGTTTTAGTAGAATCCAAGTCACTTAAGCTCTGATAAAATAGTTTTTCCCTTGAGGGCAAAATGTTAAGAACAAAAGAGGTCTGGGCATATTTCAGAATGCTCTACTTCTCCTCCCTGAGAGTTGTTTCAGTGTTCCAGTCTTACCCCGAGAATCTAGTGGGACTCTGGAGATAAAACTTTTGTTTTCCTTCCTCCCCCAGAGTTTTACATTCTCAAACTAGTTCATATTGGGCTTCCAGCAGTTTCTCAGTTAAAATTTAAATGTCTGTGGGACTGGCTCCTTTCAGTCTCCTGCTTCTAAGGTCTCTGCTCCCAGTCAGCTATGATTGATTCTCTGTACCCACCCCTCTCTCCAGTTTTCAGAGTAGCAGTTTGCCCTGTGATCTCAGTTCTCTGGATCTAAGGAGAGTTGGTTTTTACTTTCTTCAGCTTTTTTTGTTGCTTTTGTGAGGACTAGGAGCCACAGCTTCCAAAGCTCTTTTACGTATCAGGCCAGAAACTCTCCTTGCATTTTTATCAGCATCATTTATCAGTATTGCCTTATCTTTATTTCTCACAGCTTTATTGCAGTGTAATTGACATGCAATAAACTGTACATAATGAATATATTCAATGTTATGTATATATTGTATATACATACACTATTTAAATGTGTATATATATATATATATATATATATATACATATATAATGAAACATATATGGAAAATTTTTGTGCCCTTTGGCTATCCTTCTCTTCTGACCCTTCTTCCCTATCCTACTTTTTCTCAGTCACCACTGATAGGTTCTCTGTTGCTTTATTGTAAAGGTTGTTCTTGCCCATTTTACTTCCTGGTTTTTAATCAATATATCTTTCTCTGTGTCATTTATTACTCTTTACTTTGACTTTTTTTTTTTTACATTTTTTGGAAAATTTTAAACATCTATAAAAGTATAGATTAATAAAACTCCTTGTGCCCAAACTACTACCCAGTTTCAACACTATCACCATATATCCCCACCTACTAATTCCATTCACAGCACCCCTTAGGTTATTTTTTTTTAATAAATTAATTTTCCTTAGGTTATTTTAAGGCAAATCCATTAAATCCTGTATTCCGTAAATACTTTCATGTGTATCTCTAAAATAAGGACTTTGTACATATTAGAAACTCCCACTTTTCATAAGAACTATTTTATATCCTTTTCCAGTCTCCTCTTACCTCCATCCCCAACTTCTAGTTCTCAGTAATTGACCTTGCTTCTCACTTCAAAGGGAAAAAGAATATAAAATCAGAATCTCTTCAGCTATCTTAAGTAACTTTGGGAAAGTTATATAACTCTTGTTAAGCTTCATTCTCCACATCTGTATAAAGGGGTAACTAATTATACCCATTTATGTTAGCTTCCTATTGCTGCTATAACAAATTATCATAACTTAGTGGCTTAAAACAACGCAAATATATTCTTTTACAATTCTGGAGGTCAAAAGCCCAAATATGCTTCACTAAGTAGGACTCCCTTTGGAGGCTTTAAGGAGAATCCATTCCCTTGCCTTTCACTTCTCAAGGCCAGCTACATTCCTTGGCTATTGGTCTATCCATCTCCTAATCCAGCCATGTAGTTTCTTCAAATCACTGACCCCTACCCGTCTTGCCTTCCACTTTCACTTAATAAGGACCCTAAGTGATTACATTGGGCCCATTTAGATAATCCAAGATAATCTCTCCATCTCAAGAGCTTGATCACGTGTGCTAACTTTAGCAGCATATATATTAAAGTTGGAATGATATGGAGAAGATTAGCATGGCTCCTGGGCAAGGATGACATGCAAATTCGTGAAGCATTCCACATTCTTAAGAGAAAAAAAAAAATCCCTTAATCACATCTGCAAATTCCCTTTTGCTGTATAAGATTATCAGTGGGTTTTGGGAATTAGGATGTGACCATCATTAGGGGACCATTATTCTGCCTGCCACATTACCTCCTAAGGTTTTTAATAGAAGAATTAATGTAGGCAAATCATAATAGAGGTCTAATACACAATAAGTACTCAAAAAAGTATATCTGCTATTTGCCAATGGTAATGGTTATTTCTCTGCCTCTGTAACGTCCCTGTATTAGTAAGGATAGTGAATTATAAATATTTAAGAAATGCTGGTGTTCTGTTTGCCTTCAAGACTAGTGGTCTACTTGACTTTTTGACTTTTTCTTATCATGTAAAAATATATCACAAATTTATGAACTGTGGTTATGAAAGAGATCAATATTGTTAGTAAAAGCTACTATAAGCATCTGCAAATCAAAAGAATCTTTATATTACTTCCTGGTTTTTCTCTTAAAATACCAAACTAATTTTTTTTTAGTCTTTAAACCTTAGTATAATATATTCTGTGTTAGTGGAGATTAGATGGCTTCTTTCTCTGTCACCTGGTAATTCCTTTACCCAAAGCCTGGTGGTGACTTTTCCACTTTATAGATTATGAGTCTATAAGCAGGCATAAGGTGCTGTATAATACAACACCTAAACTGTACTGCATCGATAGGACACATTATAGAACAAGAAAAATGACCCAAATATAGTCCTTAGCTATATATATAGTATGGAAAAATTAAAAGATCACTAATATTTTTTAAATTAACTCCTCTGAATTCTTTCAAATATGAGACATGACATTTAAAAGGAAAAGTGGGGCAATGTGAGAGATTTGTACTAAGATTTTCTCACAGAGAGTGAACTTAATAGATGATGGAGTACAGAACTTGGCATTCCATAGGAATAGCTAATGTCTTAATTTATTCTTACCAAAATTTATGAAATTAATTTATGAAGCATTTTCCACAAAAATATTTCTGCCTTAAAAATAAAAACTAAAACTGAAACTATTGTAAAATTGTATGTTAATTATACTTAAATTTAAACACAAAAACAGGCAGATACAACATGACTTCTAATGAGAGGGAGGCTTCATCTCCTAAGTTAGAAGATGGCAAACTGTAAAAGGTCAGAGTAAATAGTTTCATCTCTGTGGGTCACATGGTCCTTATCTCATCTACTCAGCTCTAGAGTGAGAGCAGCCATAGATAATATGTAAACAATGAATATAGCTATGTTCTAGTAAAACTATATAAAAACAGGATGCAGGCCAGATTGGCTACAGGGACCATCTTTTGGCGATGCTTACCCTGGGTTCTACACTGGATGATTGCTTGACCACTTTTTCAGCCCAACACAGAACATCATTGTATAAATTTCCTATTAAGTGAGGTGTGTCTAGGAAAGTATGGGTAGATCCTTGGGCTTTGCAGTGAATGTAAGAGAACAAATGCTCCTGTATGAACTGACACCCCAAAATACACAGAACATAAAATCACATTCCCATATACCTCTACTGAAAACACAAAGTTTGGTCACCCAAGCATATGGCCTAGTCCTTTCCTTCACCTAAATCTTCAGAACCTGGGGCACCACCCTTTCATACAATTCAAGGCATCAATGCCTCATGGTGTACCTTATGTTTGGGGCTGAGCTGGCAGCCTCTGAGTATAACTGTCCTCCATTAGGGCTTCTTTCCTATCCAAGTTTCCAGTGCCTTTACTTTCAAAAAAGTACTCAAACTATGGTTTGTGACCAAAACTGCATGTACCACACCCTAAGGTGATTTTTTTTTATTAGAGAGGAAGGAGGGAAAGGAGCAGAAGGAGAGGGAAAGAGAATCTTACACAGTCTCCACACTCAGCACAGAGCTCAGCCCAACCCTGAGATCATGACCTGAGCCAAATTCAAGAATCAGACGCTTAACCAGCTGAGCCACCCAGGCACCCCAATTTCCAGAAATTTATACAGAGAACTGATCTGCCTGTGTGTGGATGTGGCATAATACCTTCAGTCTTAGAATTACAGGCTATCTAAAACCCTCACATTCCAGTATAAAACAGAAGGTTCAGAATCACTGGAACTAGGTCATATCATGAGGCACTCCACACAAAAAAGTTGCCAAACTGGAAGCAAGGAGAAGGTGTAAGACATAGAGGACAAATAATTCTTTATGACTGAGGAGATATCCATGTATTGAGTAAATATTCACTTTTTGCTCTAGGGGCTAGATAAGACAAAAATCACTGCCCTCATGGAGATCACAGTCTATATTCAGCAAAGCCTACTAGGAGGAGACATTTGAGCTGGGAGGGGCCTTTATATTGCACAACTCTAGAGGCTACCATTCACATCACAGTCTATATCAGTGGCACCCCTGGAGTGGTAAAATGGACAACCTGTAGAATCTGCCATGGTGACCATGACTTGAGTCTTGAAGTACTAGGATTTTAGTAGGTACAGAAACAGAAAGAGGGCAGTTCAAATAGAGGAAAATAGTATGTGCAAAGGTATCAACCATCATTTATTTAATGCCTACTGTTGACATGATTCTAGACCCTGGGGCTGCTAAGAGGTAAGTTCTTGTGACTTGCATTATAAAACCACATCACTCCTTCATGATCCAGGTTCTGCTATAACACAGGGGCATGTAGCAGTGAACAAATCAGAAATTGTGCCCAACTTCATGGAATTCACAATCCAAGCACATATGAATAATTACAAGAATGATGAGCACTTCAAAATTAAAGTACCCAATGTTAGGAGCCCTTATAACTAGGAGAACATGCCTACTTCAAATAATTAAAAATTGTGGGGATGGGAGAGGGACTGATAGAGTAAAAACATGAGAGAGGAGAATGGATTTGAATTATTTAGGAAATCAAATATCTATAGCAAAAACAAATCAGGAGCATCTTTGAAGAAAGTAGGCAACTCAAAAAAAGACATTTAATACACTGTATTCTTGCTAATCCTGGATATTGGGTCTCCATGGGAATGTGTCATGGGGAACGTTGACTTCAGTGTACATTCTGTGGGGGAAAAATTCAGAGAAACAGTTCATTTCATAGAAACTCTAGTATGCATTTATTTCATTAAGCAAGAACTCTTTGCACTTAGACAACTAAGATTACTGTACCACTTACCTCAAGTTACATCCTTAAAAGTGTACCTGGAAAATTCAAATGAAACCAAGGACCTACAAAAGCATCAGCAGATCCATTCCTAGATCCTGACTCAGCCTGCTTCCACCACTTCGAAACCAGGAAAAAAAACCCACAAAAACCTATACCCTTTTCTGTTTGACTCAAGAGCTTAGATGTCTCACTATGAAAAGGAAGAAACTCTCATGAAATGGTGAAGAACTCTGTAATTATTCATTTAATATAGGAATTTTAAAGAGACTGCTTACTTCATACGTTACTAAACATATTCCAATTAATAGTAAGTACCTTTTCCTTATATGTATATGAAAAACATTCTAAACATTAGAATTGAACAAAAATTATGTTCAATGTAATTGAAAAGTTTGTGGACCCCTAACCTAGAATAACAACAATATTCTTTCTCTGATTTGCTAAATGTTCTGACCAATACACCTAAACTTTTTAAGCTAGCACCCTAAATATCCATTTGATCAAATATTTGCCTTTTCAGAGATGTTCCCTCCAAATCATTTTAAACTGTCTTCTGTAACACGGCATAAACTACAGAATTTTCTCATTTGAAATATTCTGTATTTATTGCTCAAGGTAAAAGTACTCCCCTCTTCATGATTATTCTCTTTCTCTGAATTTAAATCATTTGCAAAATAAAATTTGCAAATTTAATAAAGGTTATTTAATGCTAAAATATCCATATTTGCTGACATATTCCACTTGCTTCTTTGCTTGCCAAGGGAATTCTACTCCCACAGATATTCCAACAGGATCCTACACTTCACTTATATACCTATCTGATAGACAGCCTTAAGTTTGCCTTTAAAAGGAAAAAGTCATGCTATTTTACTTTCAGATAATACTTCTTAGAGCTAAATAACTTAACGTAAATCTAAATATTACAGATTATATCACAAATTCAGAAAGTATAATGATTCCCAACTTGAACCTCTCCAACCGCCTTTCAAGTCTGTGAAATTTCCATTCTGTGAACCCTCATTTTACTCCTTTGCAAAACTTGTATTGGTTAAGAAAGGTGCATTGCTACTAAAGAAAACAATTTTCTGCACCACTACAAGCTATTGAAAGGAATAAGACGTGTTTCTAACATTGTTTTTTGTGCATCCAGCTGAATCAATGGTTTTATTCTCTTCTATTCAATCAAATGCAATCATTAAACAAAGGTTTAGGTTACACAACATACTCTCATTAGCTGCCAATTTTTATAAAGTATATAAAATGTAGGGTCTTAGTTAGAGGTCCCTAACCTCCTGGCATCAGCATCTCTGGGAATTTTAAGAAATGTACATCCCCAGGCCTCACCCATATATATGAAATAAGAACATGTGGGGATGCAGCCAATGAATCTGTATTTTCAATGCAAATTATTCCAATACTTTCTAAAGCTGGAGACCCACAGCACTGGACTTTTAGAAAAGGGATTTACTGAAGGCCAACTTTGTCTCACACAGCAATTACATATACTCAAAAGTAGAATTTCATTCCAAACATATATATGCTTGCAAATGAACTATTCATATAGTTTTAGAATCCTACAATGCAGTAAAGAATACCAGAAGGCAAACTTGATAAATATTTCTGATTTTAACCAAAATAATTTTACTCGCCAGTATGGTCAGGTTCCGATGAAGGCTTGTCAAGGGTCAAGTTCTTGCTTTGTTCTCAGATGGCCTTTCCTAGGTTCAAGCACATGCAGAGAGTGAGATATCAGCTCTGTGGTGTCTCAAGGGTTCATATTCATGACCTCTCTAACCCTAATTACTTTCCAGATATCATCAGATTAGGGGTTGGTCCTTCTACGTA